GGAATCCCGCCTCAAATTGTCCCATCAACGGGAGGAATGCCAGTCGATGTCTCCACAGGATTAATACGAAACAAAATTTAAAACTACGGAATTGAAATATAAGAGCAAATTATTTAGTCAAATTTCTAACAACTTAACAATTATTTAAACATGAATTAGAAAATCATTAACCAATGATTAAAATCAATCATTAAAAGAAAAAGTAAGTAATTATATTCTAATGATGAGGCAATCATTACCAAATGATTTTAAAAATCATGTAAGTTGAAATATCATGCAAAACCACCTATTAACCATGCAAAATCACCGCCTTAGAAATCATGCAGAGACCACTAAACTTCCTGTAAAAAAATTTTTTTTTTTTTTCAATTTTGATCAACTCGAAATCTACATTAATGCACTTTATGTAAATGGTGAACAAAACAAAATTTGATTCACCAAAGAATTCGATTTAAACTTGTAGGTAAATACTGGAGAATCAAATCAAACCGAAGGCCCGTGTTTACATGGTTTCCTTAAATCGAATTCCCCGTCTCACCAGGATGCAAGAGGTTTTGATCGGTGTTCGATTCCCAAGATACAATCGATTGTCGGTTCACGCTACACAACATTACCCGCCTATGAATTAGTTGTGTATATCTCTCAAAAAACTTTAGCAAGGGAAGAAAAAGAACAAAATCGAGGCTGCTGTTTTTGTTCGCTGTGTCGTTAACCGAGAATGAGGTTGGCTTTATATAGGTGAGCTACTTTGATTTCCATTTAATCATAGCATTAATTTCCATTTAGTAACAAATGAAACAGTTGAAATTAAAACTGGTAATGAAGAATAAGATTTAATTTTACATTCAACCATAACTTGAAACTGAACCAAAATGTGAAACGGTTTCTAATTTTTCATTCAACCAAAGAAACTGATGATATAGTTTCCAATAATAATATTCTTATGCTGCCGCTGTCCATTATGACCTTTTGTGATGAATGTACAATGGGTGCAAAAGTCGTTGAGTATCATCTTGTTTCTTTGGGGGCCAAAAGACAATTGATCATCATTCTTTGCAGTTGCAGTAACCTTATTGCCTTCATAAGTCTTCACTTTCTAGTTGCTCTGTCTTTTATTGCCTATTAGGGCATACCTAAAACACTTGTTGAGGTGACATGAAATCGTCATATGCGGCGACTAAACCCGAGGAGGACACCTTAGGAAAACTCCCTAGATGACCGGAAACAATCTCGGGCATTGTTGTTTGGGGTTGATCAAAAAATGACCATATCAGAGGGAGTCTAGGGTTCTGTGATGCATATTCTTTCTTCTCTAGTTGGTGTCGCTCATCGTCCTATGAAGCTCACTGGAATCTAAGTTGCCCCATCTTTGGGCTGATTGCTTGCTGGTTATGTGCTTCGAAAGTTACGAGTAGCGTAGATGATGAATACAGTTAAAGCATGCTAAACACCAAAAAGGGATTTTCAAGCTCGATAAGTCGATGATCAATGTTTTCGAACCGCCTTTAATCATCGGCAACTCAGTTTCCACCGACGTCGTCCTTGGTGTCACGGACTGCAGCTTTACTTAAATCCCGTGACCCTATCGCAGCTGCAGTTTACCCAACTTCGGTCGTACATTGTAAATATTTCATTTAATTGTAAAATAGTTGATAATTAGAAAAGTTTAGTATGATTCCTCGACTTTTTAATGTCTACTCCCGTCATATGGATTTTTGTTGCCAAGTCTATTATAGGGGGTATTAATCTTTCAAACATCTTTCAAACTTTCTAGTATTCGCTCCCTACACTAGCCACTGTAATTTCCTACTTTCATCTATTGTAATGTTCAGCTTTCAAGCAATCAATGATCAAGTTTATTTCAATGCATTTCAATTTCATGTTGTAAGCTTTTTTTAAATTGTGATCAAATTTACTTTCGTCCCGAAACGACCGAGAAAAGGCAGAAGGTAGTCTAGCGGAGCACATTACTACCACACGGTGTCCCTTTCTGTGCTAAGAAGAAAGGTAACCCGTGAAAGTTGGTATCAGAGCTGCGGCTCAAGACTCTCGATAAGAAAGCTACGGATGCAATGGAATCGAACGCTACGGAGGTGGTAGATCCTCAAAAGAGGACCACGAAACAGCATTTGGAGGCGCTTGAGGTGACAAACACTAGGTTGTGTTTGGCCATGGAGGGCCTCGGAGAAAAGGTCGAAGTGGCAGAGACGGAAACTAGGGAAGTATGCATCCAACTGGATGAATGCCAAGAAGCTTGCGTAGCTATGACTGAAATTGTTGCTAGCATACCTGATCTGTAGGAGGAAGTGGAAACGTTAAGAGCTCAACTAGTAGTTCTTCAACGCGCAGTTGGTAATGGGCAAGCCACCGTGCAAGAGTCTATGCATAGGCTCAGAATTCCAGAATCGTGTACCTACAGAGGAGCATGCGATGCTAAAGAAGTTGAGAACTTCTTGTTCGATATGGAACAATACTTTCGTGTGGCTTCGATCCAAGACGATTCGAGAAAGGTTACTACAGCTACCATGTATCTAGGTGGAGATGTAAAACTGTGGTGGCGGACGAAGTATACTGATATTCAGGCCAACAGGGTCCGAATAGATTCTTGGGATCTCCTCAAGGAAGCAATCAGATCTCAGTTTTTCCCAGAGAATGTGGACTATCAGGCATGACGTGCGCTGCGAGAACTGAAGCATACAAGCTCTATCAGGGAGTATGTGAAAGCCTTTTCCAGGCATATGCTAAATATTCGAGACATGTCGGAAAGAGACAAGCTATTCACCTTCATGGAAGGGTTAGAACCGTGGGCACGCACGGAACTTCATAGACAGAAGGTCACTGATTTAAGCGCAGCTATTAGAGCTGCCGAATGTTTGAGTGACTATCAACTAGAATCGAGAGAGGATCGATATTCGGGAAATATTCAGTCTATTGGAGGTGGAAATAGACCTCATAGACCTAGCTCGAGCTCAAATGGGGGAGAGCGTTACTCTCAGAATCGGGGAGGAGCCTATCAAGGCAACCGTCAGAATAACAATTGGAACCAAGGAAAAGCAAAGGAGGGCAGATCTGATGCCAATCCTAAATTGAAATGTTTTTTATGTGAAGGACCACATCGGGTGACGGAGTGCCCTCAGAAACGGATGGTGAATGCATATTGCCAACTAGCAAGTGACGGGACCAAATCAAAGCAAGGTACCCCACAAGCTAGCTGTCTGGCGAGACCGACTCCGAAGAGGACGAGGATGTAGTTGGTGCATTCTCACATCGGTGCAATACACTTTTGCATCGAGCTACGAAAAGGGACGATGGTCCCTCGAAAGAGTAGAAGATGGAGGAATCGAAGGCTCGCACTTGTAGGGCGAAAGGCCTGATGTACATTGATGTAAGGATCAATGGAAAGCCAATCAAGGCTATGATAGACACCGGTGCTACCCACAACTATTTTACCAGTACCGAAGTAGAGCGGCTCGGACTTGCTCTAGAAAGAGGTAAGGGAAAAGTCAAAGCAATCAACTCCGCTGCTCAACCGATAGCAGGAATAGCGAAATCTGTGTCGATCAAAGTAGGTCACTTCGAGGGAATGACGAATTTGTCGGCAGTTCAGATGGATGATTTCAAGCTCATTTTGGGATTGGAATTTCTTCGGGACACAAGAACAGCAGTGTTACCGCATTCTGACTTATTAGTAATGATGGGGAGAAAACCATTCATTATCCCCACACAAGTTGTGAAGGCAGGCGAGAAGGGTATCTCGGCCATGAATATAGTAAGGGTTTCAAGAGGAATGAACCCTCATTTTTGTGCACTCTTCAATTGGAAGAGATTGTTGAGATGACTGGTCCAATTCCAAAAACTGTCGGAAAGCTTGTTAAGGAATTTGAGGACATCAAGCCGAAGGAGTTACCAAACAAATTGCCATCAAGGAAGGCAATTGATCGTGGGATTGAACTTGTTTCGGGTGCCACACCTCCCACCAGGGCACCGTACCGTATGTCTCGCTGGAGTTTGAAGAACCTCGGAAACAGTTGGGAGAAATGTTGGGAAGTGAGACTACTGTGAAGCGCACTGCCGCATTACTACAATGTGCATACTACTGGCCTCAAAGGCGGGACGACTATTCAAGTTATGTGAAAACTTGTATTGGTTGTCCGCAAGATAAGACATATCATCGGAAAAAGGTAGGCTTACTGAAGCCCCTTTCTATCCTAAACGGACCATTCAAAAGTGTGTCGATGGACTACATTAATGGATTGCCAAAAGTTGGAGACTTTGGTACTATCATCGCCGTAATGGACGGCTTACCTAAAGAGACATCTTTCACTACAGTGTCCAAGTATGTATCAGCTGAAGTGACAGCTCAACTTTTCTTCAAACATATTGCTAAATACTGGGGACTGCCTAAGAACATCGCTAGTGAACGGGATTCTCGATTTTCTGGCATACTTTGGACCGAGTTGTTCAAACTTCTTGGTTCAACTTTGAGCATAGGTTCGAGTTTTCACCTACAAACGATGAACAGATGGAACGTTTCAATGCTTTGCTGGAAGACTATTTTCGGCACTTTATCTCTGCTTCACAGAAAAGTTGGGGAAAACTCTTGGATGCGGCTTGGATGTGTTTCAATGCTCAAAACAGCTCTTCTTCCAATAAGAGTTCCTTGGAGATTTCTACTGGCCAGCACCTTTACTCCCTCATACTAAAGAGACTCTCGGCCACCGAACTACTCGAGCTTCTAAGAACTACCTTCAAGAGTACTTGGTCAAATTAAGCGAATACCACATCGAGAAGAAGAATTGGGCAAATGGAAAAGACCTTGAAACCTTCAAACCATCAAGCATATCATTCATTAAGGGCTCCGAGAACGTCGCCAAAACAAATGGGGGAGAATGTCACGGACTGCAGCTTTACTTAAGCCCCGTGACCCTATAGCAGCCGCAGTTTGCCCAACTTCGACCGCATATTATAAATATTTTATTTAATTGTAAAATAGTTGATAATTAAAAAAGTTTAATATGATTCCTCGACTTTTTAATGACTACTCCAGTCATATGGGTTTTTGTTGCTAAATTTATTATAGGGTTCAAACATCTTTCAAGCTTTCTAGTGTTCGCCCCCTGCACTATCCATTGTAATTTCCTGCTTTCGTCTATTGTAATGTTCAGCTTTCAACCAATCAATGATCAAGTTTATTTCAATGTATTTCAATTTCATGTTGTAAGCTTTCTTTAAATTGTGATCAAATTGACTTTCGTCCCGAAACGATCGAAAAAAGGAGAAAAGTAGTCTAGCGGAGCTGACTACTGCCGCACGGTGTCCCTTTCAGTGTTAAGAAGAAAGGTAACCCGTGAAACTTGGTGATGTCAGTAAAATTCTTGTTCTAGTACCTATTTTGGTGTGAAAACTAAATTGTTTCTTAAAACACGAAGAAATTTTGAGAAAATCAAGAAGCTTGTAGAGTTTAAATTTTAGGGTAATTAACACAAGATCTCCCTAACATTTGCCTCTATTGTGAAATATACCGTATCGTTTCAGATCAACAAAAACCCCCAGATTACCTTTTACGTACAAAAGACCCACCCATCGTAAAAGTTTTTTGCTAGAACTGTTAAATCCATCTAAAGAAGGCCAAAATTGAACAGGACAGTTGTAGTTACAAACATTTTTTCATTTTTTTACAAATTATACTCAAACCTTCTATTTTTACCATTCACAATCCTGAACTTTTAAAACTTTATCTACTTTTCCAGTTTCACCCCTACCCTACCCACGCACTCCCAAACCAAAACCCAACACCCTGCTTCATCTTCTATGTTTTGGTCCGGGTTTTCTCGTTTTGCTGCTGCCGAATGTCAAATCTCACCTCCACTTCAGATGGTTGCATATTGATTTTCAAATCCATCCCGTATAATCTTATCAATATTTAAAAAATAAAAATAAAAATAAAAATAAAAAAATTACTAATATCCTAAAAGACAACAAAATCCTACTCTAATAATAACTAATCCCCGTATATGTATAGGATTGTCTTGCATCATTTACTTGGCTCATACTCAAAAGTTAATAAAACATTCTTCCACCAAGATGAAGTAAACTTGCACTTGATAAATCAAAAACAAGAGGGGTCAAATTCAGATGTTCCATTTGCAAACAAAATCAGGTAATTGCGCCAAATTTTCCATTTATAAGTCTTAACTTCTACTTAAACCACAACAAGGCCACTGGGCTAAATTTCTTGATTTCCATCCTCCTTTGAATAATGTGGGGTGTATTTTTCCATCAGCCTATTGAATTCGTCATCAAATTCCTTCTCAAGGGCAACCTCTTCTTCCAAGTGCTTGCGCCTCAGAGCAACCATCCGCTCTTCATGTGCTTTCAGCAGTTTTTCCCTCTCAGCAACATATTCGTTCATTTCTTCGTCCTGTAGCCGGATAAATTTCTCGATTTTCTCCACCCTGAATTGAAATCATCAAAATAGTAAGAACGGTATGAAATAAAACCTAGTAATGCCAGATGTGAAACAAAAACATTAACAACATAACATAACAAGGGATCCAAACAGAGCAACTGCAATGATCAATAAATTAATTTAGGAGTCCTAAAATTGCTCCTGGTCATCAATATTATAATTTGAAATAAGCAGGAGCTCTATGTCCCCCTTCCCAAATATTAATAAACATGTAATGTTTCCCAACAATATAGTGGAGTTTTCATTTTCTGTAATAATATTTTGCTAATATAAGCAAGAGTATATTTATTTGTAACTCCAGACTAGAAAAAACCCAAGTACTGCTTAAGGCGAGCTCTAGTGTGCCCTTCCTAAATGTATTCTGATATCACTTAAATCTCGATAAATGGATAGAAGACCATGCTAAACCTCACACCAAGACTGATGGATTTCAATTGGAAAATGAATTGCTAATGAGACTAAAGGGCATCTAAAGCATGTTACCTGCTTTGGCGATCCTCAATTGACGACAGGTTTACTTCAATCTGTGTAACCTTCACGCGCTGATCCTGCTGAATCTTCTCAAAAGTCTCCTCCTTTGCATTTCTGGCATCATACAACTCCTTGATCTGATCTTTGAAGAACTGCTCTTGGAAATCCATCTGATAAAAAAGAAAACAATTACTGTGCTTAATTCAATAACAGAGATTCCTTTAGCCTCTACATCCGATGAATATACAAAAACTATAATATTCTGGATTTTGTAAAAAAACTGATTCTGGATTATAGTTGAACAAGGCTTAATGTTTTTTCAATTCATTAGTTCCAAATACACGAGTTGATTCTGTCTTTTTTTAACAAACTTCAAAGAACACAATCATTCACAGCCAACTGAAAGTAGGTCGGGTGCTCCAATCCCTATAAATTACCTCAATACTTTATCCTCTTTGCAACAATTAAGAACGGGATTTTTGCTTTGATAAATACAGAAAATACCAAACATACATCTTCTTTGTGTTGCTCATGATGCATTTTGGTCCTCAGTCTTACTATCCGGTTTTCTTCCAGCGTCTTTCTCAGCTTTTCAGACATCAAACCGACAGACTCCTCGAGAGCTTTCTTGCTCCTCTGTTCTTTGGCAACTTTATTCTTAAACCATGTCAGCTGTTGGTTTTCTTCACTCATCTGCTTCATTTGATTCACAACCATTTCTTGATAGGATCTCATATCAAACTTCAGCTTGGATTTTCCTGAGCATTTTTTGAGCATGTTAAGCTATAATAAGTTAAAACAAAAACAAAGATTTTTTAAGACCATTCACTTGTCCCATACAGGGACAGAGAACTTGGGTGGAGGACACATACATGTACATATATATCTATGTTAAAATCAAACTAAACATATAAATGAATGACAATATATATATATATATATATAGAGAGAGAGAGAGAGAGAGAGAGAGAGAGAACCATGACAGTGTTGGTTAAAGTTGTCCAAGTCTCGCATCTCTGCCATGTAGCCATAGAGTTGACGTTGTCCACCAGGATAGAAAGGAACCCTATTCCGCTCCCAACCATTCTTATCTCTACCATTATCTTCAAAATGTTTGCTTAATCGCTCAGCCTCTGCATATCCCACTGCTGAAGCCTCAAAAATCAGAACACTTATGCCCCGATGCCCCTGTGGACCATATGAATGTCGAGCCTTCACTGCAGCATATGAACTGAAATAGTCGAGAAGCTCTTGATTTCCCATGCCAATCCACTGATTATTGCAGTTCATAATAACATGAGTTCTAGTGTAAATAATTCCATATAATATATATATATATATATATATATCTCATCACAATAATAACATTAAGCCTCCGTCAGGAAAATTTATAAACGGTTTATAAGTAGGAACAGTAAAATGAATAGTAGTGGTCCCACAAAAATTTTAAATTAGTGTTTGACTTTACTTAGCCCATATTTTGACTACATTTTAATTTTAATACATTTTTCTTTTCTTCTTTTTAACCTATTCAATAAAATAATATTACACGTAAACCCAAAATTTTTCCTCTTTTTTAACCTCAAATTCTCAAAAAAATCAATATTCAAGAATACATTTTGATGGAGCCCAAACAAGGGCTTAATTTATAAAATAATTTATAAATTGTATCCAAACAGAGGCTAACATGTCATCATACCTGATCCTTATCATCTTTTTCAAGTCTGGTATTCAAGATGATCACCATAGGTGGCCATACTATCTCTTTATCAGCTATTTCTTTCAGACCTTTCCATTTCCCAAAAGCTTCACCGGCTGTTACTACTGAAGTTCCCCTTCTCTTCAACTCCTCATCCAAAAGTTCAGCAAGTTCTCTATGAAGCTTCACCCTTTTGGATCCTTTAGTTCTCGCATGAGTAACAAGGGGCTGCAAGCCACGATACCAATCTATAGCCCCAGGACCTCCTTTGCATGCTGGGCAGTGCCATTGTCTTTCGGGTTCATTGATCTGCTCAACAGTCAAAGTATCAAGACTATCAAAAAGTTCCTTAAACCATCTGTTCTTCTTCCGCGTCTCATGACTCTTTTGGCTTTCATCTGAATCAAAGTCATCACTGAGAAGCTCCTCATCAGTGTCATCATCCACATCTGACAACTCCTCCTCCTCCTCATCAACATTAGCAGCCAGAACATCCCCAGGATTTTGTACATCTTCCAAGGACCGATTAGAAGTTCTGGTAGACCAGTCCCACCCGTTCTTTAGAGGAGGAGGAATTACTGCATGTGTCGCAACGTTATTGGTTTCAGGACATAGGTTAGATGATTGGGGTTTACCATTTCCTCTGCCGATAGATCTTCTAGAATCAGAAGCGAGTGCAGGCTGGGTCTGGCCAGAGCCCCTTCCTGGTCCACCAGAAGTTCGCATTCCCAACTTTTGCACAGTATCTGGATGGCCCCATGCCCTGGGAGGATTGGAATTCTTAGGTCCCCACTGTTTTGGAGCACTACTTCCAGTCCTATTTTTTGATTTCTTTCCATACACCTCCCACCCATCATCTTGTGTAGAACCCAAATTCAAATCTGACATGCCGTGACTTAGTTGTTCATCTCCAGGGCTAGAGACATTTGAGACCCCTTTCCCCTTAAATGATGGACCAAAAGGACCAGTACTGGAAGGATTACTACCCCATTTTCCAGAACTCATCTTCGTATAAAGACTCTGAACAAATCAAATCACAGTGAGAACAAGACATAAGAAAACATTATTCCAACACAAACAAAAAAGTTAAATAAATTACTGAAATTTAAAATATTCTCGTTGCTCATAATCTTTTTTTAAAAAAAAACTAATTTAGTTTCTATGCTGTTTAATACACAGAAATTATTGGAAGATAGATGTAAAATAGAACTCGTAGGACTTAATATGCGTGAAAAGATTCCACTGCATTGGACATTTCAAGATATTGATGAGTAAAGAAAAATTATTTCCATCAGCCCTTTTGTCCTTCTAAAACAGAAACTAAATTTAAAATCTATTCAGGCATATAGATGAAAAACATAAAAAAATAAAGGAAATTTATGTATAAACTAGAGAGCTCCATCACTTGGAATCTTTACCATCATCTTCCAGGCAATCCTTCGTAACAAAGGGTCAATAAATTGTTTTCCTCCATTCTGCTCATTAAAATAAAGAATCCTAATGGTGAAGTATGAAATAAAAATCAACACTGGACGCTTCACAAAAAAGCGAACAAATAGACTGCAAATTGTTATGGAATAGGGATCCTTAATCATTAAAGAATGGGGAACACAAAGCGAAAAATGAATCCCCCACCAAAAAAAGGAACAAACCTCAAAAGCAATTTTAACCACTTCAAAACAAAGTTAAATCTCATTAAAAATCAAAGGAAAACATAGCGTAAATTAAAAAATTCTTAATAACTCATTTCCATTATGTTTTCTTGAAACGATCGCGAGAGAATAGTTTTCCTCGCCATTCATGCCTGTGTCAACGTTCACGTACAGAAACATACGGTAACGTAAGTACACCAACACACAGATAGATATACGCATACAGGAACACGATCGATGAATGGGAAATAGATAGAATCGCTCAGATTTAACGGCAAAAGTCAGTATAAAAGTACCAAATCAAATGTGAGCTCACGACGAGGAATGCAACTAAAAAATTACTTACGCCGGTGATTGAGCGACACGCTCTGGTCGTAGTAACTCTCCGTCACACGCGCAGAGAGAGGACAAATACAAGGCCGGAGAAGTCAAGTGATGACTGATGAGACTGAGAGTATAAGTGTAGTGTAAGTTTCGGACTCCAAATTGTCTTCCAATTTGATTAATAGTAAAGCAAGACTATGTTTGACTAAACCCTAAAGTTCAGTAAAATTACGATTTCACTCACTTTTTGCTAAAACAATTTAGGGCCTTGTTTGAACCACCTTATTGTAGAATGAGAATGAAAAATATAGCCGTTATTGGGGCCCACACAAGAAATAGAAAATTTGAATTTAAATGTTGATGTGATGGATAACGGTCATATTTTTCATTTTAATGAGATAAAAAGATGGCCAAACAGGGGCTAAACCTTCTTGAATCCATTTTTTTTTTTTTTTCTTTTTTTCCTTTTTTTACTTTGTGGTAACAATAATCATAAAAAGATCATCACAANTAGAACTGGGTAATTAAACATAAAATATTCCTTATCTTTTTGCCTCTACCCATATTTATTCATTTTTGCGCAAAAACCTATGCTATTTTCTTTGTGAAATACAACATTTTCTTCAATTTTTTTCTTGTAAAATAGCGAATAAATCATCTTCTTTAAATTAAATAAAATAAAAAGAAAAGAAAAGAATTAATTGCAATTGTAATCCCACTTTTTTAAAAAAATGAAAAAGAGACTCAAATAAATAATTAAAATTTTAAATTGATGTATAAGTTATTGAAGATGAAATAGAAAATAAAAAGTAACTTATATGTCGATAATATTATAAATAAAATAACTAAAGTATAGTAAAAATTGTTTATTTAATTTAAATTTTTAAATAAAATATAAAAAATCTTCGATAATATTATAAATAAAAGAAATAAAATAATTAAAAATTTAAATTGACATATAAGTTATTGAAGATGAAATAGAAAATAAAAAGTAACTTATATGTCGATAATATTATAAATAAAATAAATAAAGTATAGTAAAAATTGTTTATTTAATTTAAATTTTTAAATAAAATATAAAAAATCTTCGATAATATTATAAATAAAAGAAATAAAATATAGTGTAAATTATTTATTTAATTTAACTTTTTAAATAAAATATAAAAACTCCATTTAAATTTTTAATATTTATTTATTTGGGTCTCGTTTGCATTTTTTTTTTAAAATTAGGACTACGGTTGTAATTAATTCTTTATTTTTTATTTTTTCTTTATTTAAAGAGGATTGTATATTCGCCATTTTACAAAACTTTATTAAGAAGATTGAAGAAAATGTTATATTTCGCAAAGAAAATGCCATTTAAGGGAATTTTTCGTCAAAATGAAAGGACATGGATATACTCCACGATAAAGGCAAAAGTTAAGGATGTTTTGTACCAATTACTCTTTAAAACCAAACCAACATTTTCGAGTCATTTTAACTTTTTCCCAAACAATTATTTCAATCAAACAGTCTTCCCCAATAAAATCTCAACACGTCAAAACTTTATTAGAACGATAGCCTCGATAAACTTACTTTTAGAGAAATTTTGGTGAGATTTTTTTATATAGGGAAAATTGCATTAAAACCTAGAGTTTGTAATAAAATTTTATATTAACATTTTCCTTGTAAAATTCTTTTATGTGTTTTGTATCTCACATAACTTTCTTCTTGACAAGTAAAATGTTTTGACACCTAAAAGTCATGAGTATATTAATGTTGCGTGTATCTATCTTATTTTGATACTCAGTAGTTTGAAAAATTAAAATAATCGAACATGTAAGAAAATCACCACTATTGTGTTGACGTACAAATTTAAATGCCGCTATAAATTGAACAAATCACAGTGAGAGCATGAAATTCAATGCTTTTTTGGAATGTATTTAGCCCATGTTTGGCACACATTTTGAGAGTAAGAATGTATTTTTACTGTTGATGTGATTGGGAATATGTGGTTGAATATTAAGGAAAAGTTATTGATGTGATTGAAAGTATTATTTTATTGAATAATGTGTGGTTGAAAATGAGTAGAAGAATAAGAATGAAAAAATATCAATTTAATTATTTGTACACACACCTTGTAAGATTAACCAAAGATGTGTTTTAAAAATAAAAAAAAAAA